TTTTTGATACTATACGATGTTCTACTCGAACACAGCTAAGATGGTTTAAAAAAAATCGCTCCCATTTCGGAGTTGATACTGAGGGTGTAGAGCTTTCAAAGGAAAAGGTGAATACGAAGTGTCATTTACACATAGCAAATTTCTCACAGGAAGGGAAAGCGCCCGGCGCAGCCGGGCGAACCCATAAAAAGGAGGAGAGCCTGGCGTTAGCCGGGCGATCCGACTGGTAAACTTATAATCTATAAAAGAGAGTGACGAGTCCTTCTTATCCCTTGTGAGGAGATTCTCTGCTGTGAACATTTTTTCATGCGAGACTATCACACTTGTTCATTAAGTGGCGAAGGCTATCTTACTGTTTATATAAAGTGCACGGACATGCGAATAAAACTGAAGCAGTATTTCATGCATTAGGTGGATAGATACCAGCACAACATCAAAAGGTCATAGAACGTGATAAAGCCTTCTAGATCTCAAGGAGAAATCCTATATAATGCAAGAATTCTGTCCTTCGCAATATCGAATAATATTATAGTCTCTCGACATGAACGTCACACTTGCCACTTCTCCAATCCACTTCTGACACCACCCTCATAACCCCGTTTAGAGAATCGTTCGGCAAATTCGGGATGCAGATTTGAAATCAACATTCAAAACGCATCGCTCCAAAGTGAATAGACCTGCACTGAGGTGGGTGGAGCTAAAATTAAAAAATCTCAGTTTAGTGCAAAGACGTCAACGTTCCGAAATCGTTCTGTACATGAAATCGTCAACATTACCTAGATCATAATCACCACTTCCTATAAGCAAAGAATTCACGTATCTATGTTTCTCAGAATTCGGTATTACTTGAAAAGGTCGGATAACTTGAAATGGTTGGAGCCTTGGCCATGTTCGTAATATTGCCCCTAAAAGCTCAGACACCGGAAAAAAATGGGCAGAGGTTAAGAATAGGTTAACAAATCAGTCGAATGAGACACATTCGCAGTGAGCTAAGTGTACTCGAAATTTTAGTATAAACTCATAGACCACCACAGCTTATAGCCAGATACTCAAAGGCTGGAGCTCAGATCGAAAACTTTATCTCTGCTCGACGCCTTCTTCGTTGTGAAGCACGTGTTAGTGTGCGAAGCCCTACTGGTACGTACGAACCAGAAGATACAAAAGATTACATTATCATTTTAATACACCCGGATTTTTACTGCGCATTTTCCATACTGTTAGGAACAATGACTCTCATAATCAAAAACTTTTGCAGTTATACACCGAATTCATCTCAAAAATGTATACAAAGACATGGTCTGAGACCATGAAAACAATAGATGTTGAAGATTAATACTCTTATTTTCGCATCTTATCATCATACTCTCGAAGAAACCGCTGCCCAGTTGCTCGCGTCGATTCGTTTAGATTTATATGCAGAAGAGCGTTCTCGATCATCACCCGGTGAATGTATAGATACTGCACTTCCGTTTGTATGCACTGGGCTCGGGCACATCTCAACTCTCGAGCGATCTGAAATGGACAATTCCATTTCACTCTTCAAGTGTTGGTTGACAATGACCTCTAAAACTGGATGTTTTCCACTTGCTTATTTACGGTAATCTTCAATCGTTTCTGTTAATGAGATCACTGCAATCGGAGCGCACCACCACCGCTCTGGCTAGGATGTGCCTTCGACTCAGCTAATGGTATACATAGAGCGCCGGGTGCAGTCCTTTACCAACTGGATCGCAGCGTTTGCCGCGACCGCCGGCAGCAGTTTTGAGTTACCTCATTTCTGAACAGTGGGTTTTAACTCACTTGACTTTACATCAAGTGGTTGCTACCAGCGCGCGACCCCATTTCGGAGACAACTGCAATATAAACATAACATCTGACGACTTATAACCCTTTGACGACAATGGCACCCACCGGTGGGTGCCACCATGGGACATTGCCACCCAATTTTGGGAGCCTTCATACTTTCACGTTTCTTACCAATTGCTGAATTCAATAGGTCAGTAAAAGAAGTCCTCCTGGGACAGTGGCACCCACCGCTGGGTGCCGGTCGCGCGCTAAAGTAGTGGAGCATGGTCCCATGGGCGCGTCACGACGAAATCCGCATTGTCGTCAAAGGGATAAGGACGTATGTCAATCGACGTGGCTCTTCGCAGCTACTGTGTCATTTAGATGCGTGGGCTCAAACTAGAGCATATATCCCGCCTGCACGACAAATTTTTGAGGTCGAACAACTTGTCTTCTTGATTAATGGATAAGTGCAAAAACATAAAGACCTCCTTCTTGCGATAAAATCGTAACCCAGTTGACCGAGGGCATTCTTCCATTCATTACAAACGACACAACATTTACTCAATTATTTCTGAAGATGAAGGCGCGCACGGTTGCCGGCATCATAACCACTATTCAAAGAAGAAAAGCTCAGTACATTACAACCGATCAAGCAGAATATGACGGGATCGTAGGTACTCGGTGACAGGAACCGATAACAACTGATAAGAGAAGATAGGGAATATAAGAAAGCAAGGGCCACTTACTGATCCTACTATCAAAATCCTACTCGTTCGGTATTTACGATGTAGCTTTGACTGTTTAGTAGGTTTCATTTGATAAGACTGGATGGTAAAGTAGGGTGACAAAAGTGAATGGTAAGCGCAGTGATTGGGACCAGTTAGCGGCACTACGTTAAGCAGACGAAAATTTTGTACATTTTCTGCTATTAGATTACGACCGCTTAACTGAACCGCCGACCGCCAGTTATTTGAAATTTTTAACTAATGATATCTGTGTAAAGAAAAGATCCATTGATAACATCTGATGATGGTGTTACCATCATTTGAAACATTTATGAGTATCGCCCAAGGCTTTGATTGCCTGACAGCTGAATGGGTACTTATTTTCAAGAAAGAGAGCAAAAGATCGAGACTTACACTCACAGACGTAAGCACCGACTTACACTGAACACAGTATGCACTGCCCTGTTAGTCCTGAGTCAGACTTCAAGTACAGGAAAATATTGTTTGTTTCAAACAAGGAGGAGTAAGTTAACCGAAAACTACAACTTTGTCGAAGAAGGAGGGAAGCTCGGTGCTAGCCGGACCAGCCGACTGGTCAGGATAATAAGGAGCCTGAAGCAAATTATCGTTCGGCAGGGAGAGATTGTTCAAACTGTAAATAAACCGAACTGTGTCCAAGGAATTGAACAAACAGCAGTGAGATTTTTCTTTTATTTACTTCTATTTATTTATACACTCAACTGAGTGCGCCAATGAAGGAAACTGAGGACAGATGTACAACTACAGAAGAGCCCAACTAAGACCAAGATAAAACAAGCTGAGCTGAGCCAGCAGTGACAGTCCGCCGAATACCACTATTTGTACTGGGCAGGAGGTGGAAAAAACTCATCTACGAAGACAGGACCACACACGCTGAACTGACAGCCATGAAGAAGAGGAATCCAGATAGCCAGTACCCGCACCGGTTGGCCATGGTGCCTCATCCGAGAAGGAGTCACTGGACCAAGTCGGAACTTCGGCACACGGGTATGCCAACCTCCCTCGTGGAACCGACTTGTCGGATACCGGCAAAAGACAGTAAATGAACAAAAGGCTGGGCGCAGATTCAGTATGGCACAGTGAGTGGGGTGAAATCGATGCATGTATAGGTATCTCAGTTTCTTCCATAACAAGATTTCGAAGTAGAAATGGTGCTTGTATCAACAATCTTTGCCAGAAAAGTCACTGAGCCGTTTTCGAAACGAATATTGTCCACAAGCGAAACGTGAGTGGGTCTGCTGAACCCAAGAAAGTCAAGCGTCGGCTTTGGATAAGTACAGATGAAGAGGGGTGTGCGAACGAATTTTCGATCGCACCCAATCAAGCTCGCCTCGCACCTAGACGCGAAGTGACCTTAATTATGTGCGAATACTACGCTATAATTATGCTGCCCGTTCTCGCTACTGATCGAGTTAGAACTCTTCAACTAAAGAGGATAATGACAGTTTGAAAAACGGAGTTTCTCTTTTAAAAAATGAGTTTTTGAAAGAAAAAATTCCAATATCAATTTTCAACAGTATTAAGAGTTTCATTAACACACACAATAGATGAGCCCAATATATTTTATCTCAAGCTCCTGGAAAATGGGTAAAACAGTTTAGTTCACTTCCTTTTTTCGGTATTTTCGCTCATTTGCGATATAAAACAACCTTTACAGAAGCGATGTAGTTTCTAGAGTTGTTTAGTATTGGGACTACTCTTCATTGAGAGGTCATCGAATGCCCTACGGCTCACCATGCTAGCCATTTCACAGTTTTTACGGCATTTAGCAAGTCTCCAGGCTAAATTCAACACTTTGAGGAGAGGTCATCGGGGACTATTTGACTAGTTGGGCGGGTGCTTTAACTACCACTGCTTACTTTATGCGACATTACCATGTATTCTGGAGACACACTGTACTGTTTTGATGAATTCACAGGGTGTCCTCCCGCTCCAAATTATTTAGGGGTGCGTGGTCCATGTGGCCCATTCCCTCCATTGTCCTAGCTTTTCACTTTTGCTCCGGAAGCCCTAGTACTACAAAATAATTTTTTCGGAAGTTCTGGGTCTACACAACCTCCTCCAATGCAGCTGGATCCCGCACCACAACCTTCGCATTACACGTTTCCTGCACCCCCACAGCCTTCTCCAATGCAGCTGGAAATTCTCTCTTATTACTATTGAATTGAACCGTTTTCTCCCATATCACACAAACTTTATTCACAAAATATATTTAATTCATTTAGTATGCGTGTAAATAAAACTCTCAATACTGTTGAAATTGTGTTGGAACTTTTCTTTTCAAAAAACTCATTTTGTAAAGAGAAACCCCACTTTTCCAAACTGTCACTATCCTCTTCAGTTGAGAGGTTTTAACTCGATTAGTAGCGAGTGTGGGCAGCGTAATTACCGCGGAGTCTTCGCACCTAGTTAAGGTCACTTCGCGCCTAGGTGCGAGGCGAGCTTGATTAGGTGCGATCGAGAAACCGTTCCCGTACCCATGAAGAGGTGCCGGGAACGCAACATGCAAAAACACTCGCTTTCGAATGTACACACAAAATGGCTATAGACGTAATGTTCTGGAGACTCTATTCTGGGAAAAAGAGTCACTGTTGAAATATATCAGCAGTCTTTCGACGATGAGATCGACAAGTGGATGCACACAATTGCGAGAAGCGCTTATGGCTATGCCACGCTGCTTCAGTCAACTGAAGCAATATTTCTTTTGACTGTTAGTCGGTTGCTGAAGGAGATCCTAACAGAATCTTGTTGGGGAACAGGAACTCTTCGGTGCCATATGCCAATGGGACGCTCGCAATGGGTCGCTGATAAGATATCGATCTACTTGACTGAACAATAGAATATTAGCCTTTTATCTCTTTTGCTGTTCACTTTATTCAAGAAAAACCTGCACTTCCGAATGAGATGGTCTGATATTCAAGAAGAAAATGAGAGATAATTATAAGCAGTTGACCATGCAATTTTCAACTGGCATGAATCAAACTACGAGGCCAAATGCCCAGCCGAGAAATCTGCCACTGAAGATGTTCGCAAAGAATTGTCAGCTTCGACGAGGTATTTTCTTACTATCTTCCACAATGATGCATTGCTTTTCTTTGCTTACGAGGTGAGTTCAAAAATTCTCGAGACGATCAACGCAGGCCTGCTTTCAAAATCAGCGAAACGATCATTGAACTCGCGAAGAACTTTTCAAGCGTGACATTCTCGAATTTTAATCGCTTGAGAATTTGGAAAACAACTAGTTGGATGGTACTGCTGAGCTCCCTGGTTCACAACCAGGTTGCTGGATTCAAGAGTTGCTTAAACTGTTCTTCCTGCATTTTTTCAGCACTTCGCATAAATGTCAAGGCTTGAAACGTCTTTAAACTTAGGCAAACATTATGTGAGAAGAACCAGTGTAAAGAATTCTCTTTAGCTTACTGGAAGACTGAGAGACTTTCTATGTTCCTATTGAAAAGCTTTCTCGACCCATATGAAAAAATCAAAAGTAACGAGGCGCCCTAGCAAGGAGTCGAACATGTGATCCGCACTGCTAGATAACAAGAGCACGGGCTTATCTCTAACACCACCAAGCAGGGATGATTTCTCAACCTCACCAAAGTGAGGTTGTGCAGAGGATACTGACCGAACCATCAGACAGTAAAAGTCACACTTTCGAAGAAAAATAAATTTCCGGAGCTCGGCTATTTATTTGCCATGAAAAACATGAACAGTGTGATTACCTGTTCAAAGTCGATCTTGTTACCGACTACGACTTTTTGAAGTGCCAGCTCAAGAGCTATGATACTACCCGTCCGACCAATACCAGCTGAGCAGTGAACAACACATGGAGCATGCCGTACTCTGCAAAGAAAAAAGGATGTATCTGGATATTGATAGAAAACGTAATAAACAGAGAATGGTGAATGCCCTAGAATATGGGAAACACCAATAAACAAGCTTCCAAGTAAAACGTGCCTGTCAAGAAGATAAAGAGGTATTCGGCATGAATTGTGGTCAGGTACGCCTCGGTCTGGCCACCTGTAAGTCTGCTCTATGAGGGTAAAGCTATAGAACAAGTGGTGCCATCGTAGCAATAGCAATACTTACGTTGTCCATCGCAATAGCCTTAAGAACAGTGGTTTCCGTTTTTCAGGCGGTAACTCTTCATCCTTGACTGCTGAAAACACCAACGTAAAGAGGTATTTACCTATACACATCTGTGTACAACATATATACAACTGGTTCTTTTGGTTTTATAGTTGGATAACCGGTATGTCTCAGGTGGAAAAATATTAATAGCACACCCCAATGATTTCAATGATTATAACCTTTAGTAACACAAGTTCAGAACAAGGCAGGCGAAAAGCAGTTTAAAGACATGAAGTGCAGTAGAAGTAAGAGAAAGTTAGAAAGGTAAATAACAGTAAATGAAAGAAAGAGGAATGCGATCATTAAAAACTGAAAATAATCATGAAAGAACACTTACTAGAAGTCGGCGCAACAGCAAGGATCATATACGAGCACTAGGGAAACACATTACACCACCCAGCCGGGTTGGCATAGAGCGAAGAAAATCGAATAGGTATTAATACCTTGAGTAAGCAACATAGCGCTTCAACAAGCACCAATCAACTTATCTGCGAGCGGTGCACTGTGGTAACAAGCGCAAGCAAACTTATGCCATCACCAAGGACACCGAAAGTGAGACATAAAACAAGGGTTACGTATAGCAAGAAGAAGAATTAAGGATAGTACCACTAAAAAATTATAATGGACAGGGTGAGGGTGAAGAATATGAATGATTACAATAATTGGAAATACTGCGAATGCATACCATACCGTATTCCGGATTTAACTCCACCATTAACGACGTTGACGTGGCGAATTCGTCGACATCTTCACCAGTATTTTTCACAACTACTGTGTCGAATGCTGTTGTTTCTCCTACTGTCTCCGGCCAATATATAGAACACTTCGGTCGGCCGTCCTCACATGGCCTCAAGTACATTTATTTATTATGTTATGTTCTACCGGCTTTTAGTTAAGGAAAATAGAAGGCGTGTTCGACCAGCATGCTCGCTTGCAGAATGCGCACTGTTGACATCACTTCTCTTGTTTTTTTTTTGTTCATTCCTCACAAGTTTTCTATTATGAAACACGAATAACTAACGTGGTCAGGGTTGCTTAAACAATCTCCGCAAGGGGAAACAAGCTACTCACTTGCATAGCATGAGAACTGACTCTATCCGTTCTTGGAAAATCATCCGCCAGAAATCATGAATAGTAGACTGTAACGGTCCCTGAAGGAGATAATTTTGGAAAGTTGTCTGGCTTAAGTACAAATAAAACAATTTTAGAAGGTAGTAGTTCAATAGTGGAAGTGAGTTCGGTAGTGACTTTAGATATTAAAAATAATAAATATGAAATATTAATATGTATCAAAAGCATAACGGAGGAGTTTTTTGAGGTCATGGTGGAGGTCTTGGCAAATGAGTGGCAATTGTGTGCGCGTAAACCCTCGAGGTATTTTGAATACAGGTCACCAATCCAAAAATGAATCGTAGAGAGAAAGTCCCGCAATTACCCGGGAACTACGGCCTATATGAGATTGGGCTTCCTGCAGAGACTTTGAATGAGGACATACCCCAGCTGACACTAGCCGGTTGCTACCATCACTTGGTGGGTGGTTTCGAAGACTCCACAAAGCTACGGTGAGTGGTGCTCTATTCAATCACCACCGCGCCCTGGAAGTCTCGAACTTCAGTAGGTTGGTATTGAGTTTGATCGAATAATGACAGATCGTTATGATCCTTTCAGGCTACGAAGAAGACGATTCTGCCGAAAGTCAACCTAATAAAGCCATTTACAAACCTTTTCTTGAACCCTTTGAAGGGTTCAAGAAAAAAATAAACTAAGCAATACAATTATGCCGAGGTTCAGAGAGAGCCGTACGCCGAATTAACAAATGCAGTGTTTAGAGTGAAATGTTTAAAGAAAAAATATTTAGGTTTTCGAACAGGAAATCGAATATTATTTAGTTGCAGTTCTCTGTTGCTGGTGGAAGAGTTAATTGCACGAACTATTTAAAGGTAGTAGAAACATATGTCTGCTTGGAAAGAACGTTTATCGAAACTTCATGGGTTCCCCTAGACATACATCGCCTGCTGGCAAACAACACAATTAACAAGAAATATCACAGGTTCTACTTCAGTGATATCACTCAGATGGCTGTTTCCTGAATGACTAACCTGAGTGCAGATAAACTTTGTTGTTAACAGCGGAGAAGTAACGTAATTTGCATGGATATAGTCACCGAAAACCTTCTCTCCCAATCGCAATTTTACTCTTGTCGAATCGGTGCAAACTACATCTGAAATTGAAAAGGTAGTTCTTGAAGCGATACTTAGTAGGAGAATTAGAGTAAATGGGCGTATGGATAAGCAATATTGAAAAGAGGAAAGCAATCATGCAAAAAATATTGATCACAACCAAATTCAAATTCTATTGCCTAAGCTGTCCGAGAAGTCAGGCCCAAACTGTCAAATTGTTATAGAACTCTGTCCCATTGCCGTCCTTTCGATGGGTTACCCACGATAACAATTATGCCGCAAATTTTTTCTATAGTTCCACGTTAGAGAACACTAGCCCTTCTACTAATTCCGGCTTTGCCTTTGGATGATCCCTCTTTCTTTATCGTTCAGTAGCCTTCTGTACTGTCAGTATTGGAATAAGAGACAATTTTAGTCGCGCATCTCCCATGCAAATGATTGCAAGTGATGTTGAATGGGCCCTCACCATCTGAAAAGATATCGGAGACTCATTTTGCTGTAGCTATGTGCATAATGCAAGGAAATCTACTTGCGCAACCAACCAAAGGAAGTGAAGTTCGCCGGGATACCATGACAAGAGTTGCAAGATTATGCACAAATCTAACAGCTTATTCTCAACCGCGATCTAATTTGTCGAAAATTGCGAAACGAGAAGGAAGGTTGAGAAAGAGGCTAGTGGAAAGCAAGGCATCGGAATATTGAAAGCCATTAGGTACTGTTCACGATGATCTTGAATTACCTTTTTTAAGTTGAGAAGCGGAAGTGTTGATGTGGAGGAGCACATCGGTGGCAATGAAAGGGAATCCGCCTACTTCAAGTTTTTTAAAAGTAGTGGAAGCGGAGGTGTACGGGGTCACCGTGACGAGAATGGATGTAAGGGTGTTTGAACGAGATTTAACTTACTCCTGTTGCGCAAAGAGATGACCACATCAAGCGGAATCGCCCAAAACTGCCTTTCACTGCCGCCAGGGTTATGATGATTTGTTTGAACTTCCTACATAGCAGTCCCTCGAGACAGTGCAGCCTCTACAAAGCCGTTGAAACTCTTATATGGGTGTGGCATTCACACGGTGTAAACTCTCTCATTGTATCCTATCCAGAAAGTTTTCCGGTTCTATGACGGAAGGTATGGTATGCGTGGGAGCCTCAATCCATACCACTGGGAAATCTCAGTTTACCGTTAACTTAAGAATAACATACCGCTATCGAATCAAACAAAACTCATTTGAGAAAGTCAAACTGAAAGTATCACAAACCTGAATATCTGTTTTTAGACATATTCGCCTTAAATGCCTCATAGGTAGCTGCCGTATCATAGAAGCTGTCGAGCCGTCTGCAAAGTAGCAAACTTTTGTAGGGATAGTTCCAAAAAAAAAGACAGAAAATTTAACCTGGAAAGGCCTAAAGAAAAACACATCTGAAGGACAGTTCAATTCGTTTCACTACGAAGTACCTGTATTCTTTAACGATTCCATCGACTCCCTTATCCGTTATTCGTTCCACGAATTCTGCTAGCACTCTGAGAGAGCGATCGGTTGAATCGCATGACTGAAATGAAAAAAGTGAATTATAATCTCATAGTTGGGTCACACAGCTAATACAGCTCTCCTCATTTTCGCGTGAAGTTGATCTTCAGCCAAGGTACAATCCAAATTGGGAGGCTCCCGCACTGAAGAAAAGGGTTATGTATTCCCAACCAGATACGCACATACACACCGCTTCGCGAGCGCCTCACCAATCAACACTGTCCAGTCACTTTCTATAACTATATATCTACTATATATCAGTGTCCTAATCTCGCTGCCTATCAAATTCGTAAGCTCCACGTCCACGAAAACAATAGTCATAAATTTCTCCTCAAACACACATGTGCACGTCCCGTCTCTCGAGGCGGAGTCCAGTCCACTCACCTACAGTGTTCTTGGCCCACAAGAACAGGAGCTATGAATTTCTGGTCACACACACACACACACCGAAAACCAACAGACACAGCAGGCGCGCTACATATATGGTACAGGAGGCGAGGGTAAGCGGAGTCTCGGTAGTGTAAGTGATGGGAGCAGTGCTCGGATAGCGCAAGTATGGGTTCGAGACCGAAGTTTTGTCTATTAATCGCCAACTTTGAGAAAGTTCCGGATAGCGTACTGCGGCAAAATAACATGAGCTAACGAAACATCAATTCAAAACACATTACCCAACCGCCCCTATACCTCCCTAACATCTCCCCACAATGTCGACAGAGATCAATGTGAAACTCCAGAACTGCCGGTATCGGTCGACCAAAAGACGGGCGCAGTAGGGGATTGACCAACTCGTGATTCATTGTCGGACTTTGTTAAGGTAGACAACAAATGAGCGCTATCTGAGCAAGTACGTCCCTAAGCATGCACCGTCCCTGAGTACCTGCTTAATTCTACAAATAGAGTGTGAAACTGTCGGAAACTATATAAAATTAATGAGTAATCGAAAAACTGCTTCACATACAAGGTTCAGAAAGATTACTTTTTGAAAGAATGCTTAGTTGCATCTGTACAAATAAACATTTGCTAAAAGAACTTTCGAAGCTTGTTCTAATAAGTATTCGTTAAGGCGGTCAGACTCGCTGCATTAACTATTATTTAGAACGATAGATAGATTTTCGCCCAAGTTAATCAAGTAATTGTAAACCATCAAATCATTTAAAAGAGTCATCCGTATATAATTACAGGATGAGCATCAAACGAAATTAGCTATGTGCTTCCTTAGAGACTGCCACAGTACTCACAAGAGCTTATCCAGTGCTATCACAAAAACAAATCCCAAAAAAAAGTCGTTAAAACAGTAATCACATTCTCATTTCAAGGAATCAAAAAAGTACAAGAAAGACTGACTAGGGCTAACCTGTTCGCAAGAGCGTCGCGCTTGCAAGGACTTTCATTAGCTTCAGAAACGTGACTCTCGTCTTTTTCAATATTCGTTTCACGCTCATTTCCAACGTTCAAAGGATACGAAGACATATGGTAGCTAGCTATGATTTTCCGGGGCTGTGTCGTCTTAAGCTTATTGAGTTCCATTTCATTGAGCGATCTCAATGAAATGGAACTTCTTTTATCTGATACAGCCAGAACTGTGAGGCTCCATAAAAGCGTTTTTGTCTAAAAGTTTATGATTACCCCTCGGCATTTATTGTAATGAAGTTTCATGAGCGAACCAATCCTTAAGAACGAAATGAAGGAACAAACTGAAGGGAAACTAGTAACCACTTTTTCAGACGAAACCGTTTCTGGCTATAGGAACGCAAGAACCTGATTGCGCCCGTCAGAGGCTCAGATATTGTGAGGAAACAATGTAGTTCTACAGCAGAACCCACCTCGTTATCCCCATTTTTTTGTTTGTTGCCGGCACGTCCTACTAGTGCTGTCGTGTCCCGAGATTTGGATCCAGTTACGGCCGACTGTAGTCCTCCCCAAACACGGGAGGCAAACGAAGTAAGTTCTGATGCCGCCACTATTACTGCAAAGATCATAAAGAGTTACACTCACTGAACACAAAATTTTACTATCGAAAAACTAGCGAAAATGATTAGCAGTAAACGTCACTAACGAGAGTCATAAGAAAGGCCCAAGCAATCCCATTATACAATGACAAACGAAACGCAACACTGACATTGCGACTGAAGTGAGCAATACGGGAACTAATATGTCATGCGAGCGGTTCGTTGTCGATGATGACGACCACGCATTCGAAGATTCGTTCCACAGACCAACCACTGCAGCTAGTTTCCGATATTTTGAGCTTATAACGTACAATAAACCAGTTTGTGCGAGTTTTTCACGCATGAAATCTCTTTCATTGAGTTGCTCAGAAAATTCGCTAACATTATGGAGGAGAAGGCCCATGGCACAGTTCTAGGTAGTGTTTAGAAAACAGGACGCGAACCAAAAGCCAACGAGTGCTTACTGTGAATCACAGGTGAGTTCGAGGGATGGAATCTTTTAACAATCAATTCCAAAATCCCTCCATGTTCGTTAACCATTACCGCCTTAGTCTCTCACCTGGGTCTTTTAGTATCAGGATACACTCTACATTCGCGATGGGATCTCTCAAGGGATTGCACATACCGCTATCATTAGCTTCAACAGGCTCGAAAAGAGTAGGACGGGGAGTGCGGTCGTCTCTGCAACCACACCCTCTTCCACAGAGAATGTCTCGCTGAAAACCATCTAGTTCAACGCTTCGTGATGTTCCAGTTGAAGTCGACGTACGCGAGCGTGCATAGCACTCCGAACTCGCCAACGCACTAATGTCGTTGATGGTGCCTTCGTGTTAGTTGTCATACGGGTCAGAAATCATGAAGCCATACAGTTCATCAAGTTTCACATTAGCAATTAAAAATGATGAGCATACCGTCTACTATCACGAGGCGTACCTCTAATAGTTGTTTATTTCTTCTGCTATTCGAGAATATATTCAAACTATCTCCACTAAGCATCCAATTTCGAGTCGTTCACAAGCAGTAGCTGGCAACATACACTTGTAGCTCATGATTTTAACTTTTGCTTAGTCATCGTCAGTGGAATGTATAGTTCCAGTCGTTATCGCCTCATACGTAGTAGCTTATATCTCGACTTCATTCCGCGTTCAAACTCCATACGTTCCATCCTTGTCTACTCTCAAATCTGTATCAAACTTCGAAGATTTCTCGTTTACTCGTAGGTTACATAAGCACTCATTTGAGTGTATTTGAAACGCTAACAAAGGACTGTTTCCAGCCTAATGGTAACAGTCCTTTGTTAGCGTTTCAAAGTCGATTGTGAAGCGATGGGATGAGAAGAATTTTTTTCTATTCGATGTCCCTATTATGAGAAGCATCTTGGTTCTAACCATTTCCATTTTTTTCATTCAACCTGAACGCTGTTCACAGAATAGTAAAAGCTTCCATGACTGTAGAGTTTAAAAAATAGTATTTATATTGGATGATTTAGATAGGAATCGAACCACATAACTCATCCAGGTCTTCAAAAAATTCTTAGTCATAGAAAAGCCCTACTGAAGAGAAAAAACTTATCAACTTTACACGATCCTAATGCCAAATATGCGTGGCGTCACCCTTATCTCTGCTCCCAGCCACCATGAGCGCAGACACATTTATGCCTTTATGTTCATTCAAGTTGGGCGCTCACCCAAAATCACTTCCGAAACTCCGTTCGGAAACAGTTAAGCGAATTTTAAAAGCAGAATTGAAACTTTCATGGGAACCTGGCTTTAGCAACATAGGACCGATTCCAAATAGCAAGATCGGCTTGAGAACCCCGTTTTAGGAATGTTCAGAAGAACGGGTAAGTGATGACATAATCTTAGCTGCTCTGCATTAGAACACTAGCCTCAAATTTGCAAACGAAGGAAGAGTTGTAACGACAGAAAAAAGAGCTTCTTGCTTTTCATCGACCTCCCTCTCGATACTTTCGGTATACTAAGACCGCGAGTTAAACCTGATCCGGTAAGCTTCGAATCAAGAAAAATGGTCGTGTTTCTCCAGCAGGAAGGGTACACCTCACTATACTTGCTTGCGTGGGGGCTCAATGTGGACGTTATCAAAGTCCGCTAGCTAGTCGATAATGATCGGGACGACAGGTAATACAATCGATGCAGATGATAACTACACATACACAACATACAGGAATAATGTTCAATGTTTTACTTACCTCTGGTATCAAAAAAAANAAAAAAAACAATTACGCAGCATGGAAAATGTATTAAGTGTAGTTAGGTCGATTCCATGTGCAGATGCCGCGCTCTTTTGCGAATTTTCAAAGTAAGTTCAATCCCAGGTGAAAGACGAAGTTAAGCAAGTTATCCAAATCAATGATATATCGAAACAGCAGACAAAGCTTGTAGAACCTAATATTCCTTCAAACTCTTCGAAAGCTTGAACCACAAGTAAATGCACTTATGACCATACAAAGGATCTAGTTAAAGAGTACCTTAAAACGGTCCAGAGGCTCTTAAAGATAACAGGCGAGGTTACGAGTCCATCGAAAATGTATTACCAAACGCTATGCAGAAAGCGACGTGCCCATAGAAGGCTTTAAAACGTACGGAAACAGTACGGCGCCAGTGGGAGAACCTGTTTTTCAGCAGCAGACAACCTGTTTCCGATCGACGAGTAATTGTGAGAGGTAAGGTGTGGTTTATAGTCAGGCAAGTCAGCGTTGGAAAAGATTCAGTTGGGATTTCAAGAGCTGGTCACTCAGCCGCTCGTGTGCTGTGTGGGTGTTGCCGTTGGCTAACGAACGAGCGAGTAGCCAGCTCAGAAGGACGGCTCTGTGGGTGTGAGCACGTGGTCGAAATCAATAGGCGCTTTTACATTGCGAATTTCGAAACCGCTGAAGCTGACACAGGCACCATACAAAAATGGTCAACCAAAACAAAAAGAGAAAAAGAAAAAAGAGCAACATGACTAAACCTACAGAGCAGTAGGGTATAGTCGAACGAAGGCATTGAGATAAAAACAGAACGGGAGTAAACAATAAAAGATCGACGTAGCGAAAAGACCGGTGGTTTTATGCGTTCAAAAGAAAAAAGCTCATCGTCGAAATACATCGGAAAGCTTATGCAAAAAGAAACAGCTCATCTACTATTTTCACCAAATTTGAGTACATTTCATAACAATATTACCTAATTCCTCAAAATAATCAAGACATACGTTGAAAAAGATTCAAAGCCTAATAGATCTGCAAGGGAATGGCACCAGTCCAAACGTTATGCTTTCAGAAACTGGGGCTGACGTTGAATGGCAAATTAAGTGGACGCGTTTCTACGAACCACATACCTCTGGCGATGACTAACACCTGTTATCGAGCCAGCTGCGAAACGACAAATAGACGCTGCGTTGACCGCATGTCGATAACGCTTCCGCTATGATGGTTTGCAATAAAGGGAATGCTTTCACGACGCAAATCTGCTATCACTGCCGTTTCAGACACTAAGAGGCATGTGTCACTACGTTTATACCTCACCATTGCCCATTCGAACAGTAGGGGGATTTTAACGTGCCGTGGACGTAAGCCAACTAAATCTACAGGTCCCGCCAATTTTCTTAAGTGCGTAACTATCGAAAACATCCGAAAACTTGCTCGAATTAAACTGTAGGTCAGCAGAGTGTTTGATGATGCTCGATACAACAAATGCCAATGTAGGAATTCCCTACCCTACCTTCCCATTTCTCTGAAGGTTTCATCACCCTGTTATCGGCCTAGTCACCGCGTGACATTTCACTCTCCTCGTCAAACTTACATGATTTTGGGGGACGGAGCTTCCACCCATTTCGAGACGCCCTGCAAGGTGATCTGAACGACTTTGGCGCCTACTATTGGAGCACAGCTTGAAGTAAAGTAGATTAGTAGGAATAGCTGTTACCACTGACCTAAACTACTTCAAATTTGGGCTCACTTAAGTTGTTGAAATCGCCACAAATTTCGCCGCGCAATTTGCCGCATGCATCTGCGGACGCACGTTGGATGTGGCTGCTTTCATAGTCCGCCGGCCGGCCCGCGAGCGAGCAAGCGTGCGCCGGCCGGGGGACTACTCGGCCTACGGTATCAGTCAAGATTCAGTGGTAAACAAGGGGCAAGCGCCGCATCCGGCTGGCGTACGCGCTCGCTCGCTCGCTCGCGAACGGGCCGGCGGACTATGAAAGCAGCCTATGAGTTCATTCGTGCGCACCAGGATGCGCGCGGTAAATTGCGCAGTGAAACTCGCAACAGTTTGGAAGTCTCTACGCCTATCATTGGGGCGATAAAGGCGAGGGAACTGCATGAATAGGTATTTCCGAAGTGAAAAAAGGCCTCGAAAACTCGTTAGACAGGGGGCTGGACGAGAATGAGATCACAAAATGGAGAAGAATGGACATTTGGACGAGCTATCCAATGTGTGCCATTGCGTACATGTGGGGCGTGATGCGAATAGCTGAATACAGTAAGCAAAATGTGTTCTTTGGAATTCATTCACACGTAAGTATAAGTTAACAAAAAACCCTAGCAACAACAAAAATACCGCACCTTTTTCAGCCTCTTGAAATAAAAAATTAGAATAAGGATTGCATGGGCGATCAGCCGATTGCGTGCTGAATGTGTGCGTCCTGGCGTGAATATTGCATTCTGTATCGCCTCGACACCCGTCTGACTCATCATGGGTCGAGAGGCGGGGTACCGGGCGATGGGGTAACGGAGCTTCTACTAAGCCCTAGCTGTTGAGTTTTGTGACCCGACAGGTCCTTCCTGTTACCCTTGGAGACCACTGGGAATTCGTAGGGGAGAACTCAGAAACCATTCTCATCGTGAACTGCGCCTTTAATCTACTCCACTGCAAATCTGTGACTCAATAATAGGTGCGAGAGTCGTCCTAATCGCCTCAAATTCCATTGCGCAATTTGCCGCGTGGAGAAACCTACAAGGTTCTGTTCTCCGTTCGGTCTAGTAAGTGGTTGTAGAGAGACTGTTGCTGATTTTTTAATCGTTGCTACAACTGTGAAAATTTCTTTGTTCGAAATATTGTATTCTTTCATAATTTATCAGAACTGCTCATGAAGTAGTGAAAGTTACCATACTAACCGAACTACAGCATGAGAGTGAGCGAGACAATGTATCACTCTCCTCTACCCTAGGTACACATATTTAAGAGCAAAACCATTACCATATTCTCCCCTCAGCAATTATTTGATCGATGAATAACCGTCTACGAACAATAGATACAAATCTTTATTTACCATTACAACTCACCAGAATCAAAGGGCGATAAGCATTGTACTGAAGCAAAGTTCAAAAATTGTGAAGAGATCTCAAAAACTGCTGGAAAAGAATTTTTGTAACTGTGAAAAGAGAAACAATTATACAGTCAAGGCCGAGATAATTGTCCTTTTTAGAATGGGATAGTGATAGATTTTTAAGTGACAGATTTGATAGAATTCCCTCAAATCAATGTTATTTTATTATCAGCAATCATAATCGCGTTATCGTTTGCCATCCTTTCATATCCAGCTTCGAGTTCACCCTCAGAAAATGGATGACTACCAGCTTGGGACTGCACACCTGAAAACACAACTTCCAACTACCCTTCGCCCTCAGCAGTGCTTTTCTTCGAGGCATTCTCTTATCGGACTAACTTACTTTCGGTTACTTTCTTCAGGTCCACCATGTCATCAGTGGCGCCCAATTCATCGAAAACCTTCCGCACACAAGCTCGGAATTGCTTATACCTGAAAAGACCATAAACGATGCTGTCAAAGAAACTGTACTGCTGATTACAGTGGCGATGCTATTCAATTGCGTGCGCTTCACCATCTGAGATAACGTCCCTCAATGGGGACATGTAAGTCAAATCACCTGTCCACACTGATACTGGGCATTTCCGTTCGAAGACGTTTTACAGGCTGAGAAGCAGTTGGCGATGAATCATCACTAGCGGTGGTTCCACGAGCGCGCCTATAAAGTGTTAACTTTCACACGGACACACCACAGAAGATTGATGTAATTGAAGTCACCTTCTAGTTCCTCGGCCGGGGGTGGAATCAGTAGTAATGACCCGCTGTTGACCACTCTGAAATTTTTATAAAAGACACTTTGGAAGCCGAAAAAGACTTTGATTCCCTTCTTCAGCAAATTACACTGAAACGCGAAGGAAATCTCGAAGGAGCTAATCATACCTATTGGTTCGTATGTGAAAGTGAAAATATCACGTTTTGACGCAAACTAGAAAAAAAACCAAAAGAAAAATGAAATTGTGGAGGGCGAAGCAGATGCAGTGGAAGTTTAAGGATATGGTTCTTCCGAGACCAATCGTTCACAAACTTCTGATGGAATCCAACGTAGATGGAACAGCACACTCTGTGCACTCGTTGTGAGAATCGGTAAATCAAATGTAGTCTTGCGCAAGGAATCTATGCGTGAGCTCGTATGTACTGTGTTTCGCTCGCTGAATCACCAAGCGAACCAATATCGCACACATTTACATTATTTGTTCAAACGCAATCAAACTTTTTTTCCAAAAAAGGGGCCCCAAATGGAATAAAATCGCAGATGATTAGTACTCCAGAAATATGGAGAAGTCCTTTTCACAATTTATACACAGAACTGATCACTGATTACTAGCCCATATTTTTTTCAACTGTAACACATAATTTTGCACTTCCCTTGCCTCGTATAAAGCAAAAGAATATGCTAGGCGTGGCCTGTCTTAATGCAAATGTCCCTTCTAACCGAATATCAACAAGCTTGCGAGGATTAGTAACCAACAAACACATTCTTGGAAAACCTACCTCTTCATCTTCTTCAGGCTCTTCATCACTTGGTACACCGGTGACTAATCTCTTCTTCGCGTTCTCGTAATCGAGCCTAGCCTTGGGCTTCTCTTTGAAACAGGCAAAGTGTAACAAATTGTAAGCCTGGAATACGTGCATGCTGCATCTTGACGAATGCGAGTTCACTACTAACCAACCTTTTCCGCGTCCACCCTATCAACTGTTTTGGAAAAACGAGCCTTGGCAATTGAAGTCGACAAACGGATGAGGGTCTCTAACTGCCGAGCAGTTATCGGCATAGTCTGGAAAAAGTGGTTGTCGTCGATCAACAAGTGCTTGTTCATCACAGTGCATCAGTTGTACTTCAGCTTACTCTTTCTCTATCCGTCTTCGATGTGTCAATCGATCTTATCTCCGCATACACCTCCGAGATGAATTCTGTGGCTCCCTCAGTGAGTTTTGGTTTCACAGAGCGAGCAAGATGAATATACTTTCTCACGAACTCCACGGACAGCACTTTTGTGCTGGAATAATAAGAATTACTAAAACTACTCGTGCTTGAAAAATAGTGGAAAAACTCACGAATCATCCGCCCAGTCCGAGTTCTTTTCATACATTTCACTATTCCTTTCGGTTCCATGCAGGTCGAATGTACTCATCGTTTCAACACCTGCTCCCATGGGAAGCACCGTGCCGTCTTTCTCCCCAGGAGCTCGATAGCAATGAAGTTTCAACACGTGGGTAGCTACAGTCTTGTCACGATCAGGATCATGCTGGAATGAAAACTCGCTTTGAACCAAACAATTTAAGCATTTCCAAACAAGTGCTTTGCTTATGCGGTCAAAAATTCGCCACTGTTGTGTTGAACCTATCACGTTCAAATTTGGAAATAGGCACACGGTGGAGTAGTAACATTGATGACAGAAGAAAGTAGGAGTAACTGGTAAGGGTCGAGAAAGGGCATTAGGGTCATTAGATCCACTGCTCCATCCACTTAACAATGACACTACAAAGTATGATGGGTGTGACCGAGACCGAAAAGACATATATTTATATATAAAGCCTATAAAGCAACATACACATATACACTGTTTGTTTTGTTTTTGTGTAGTGATCTCGAAAACAGCATTTACATGGGAAAACTGACCTCATCAAGCAATACAAAGATCAAGTCGAAGCGAGAAAGCAGCGAGTCCTGCATGTTGATGTTGTCCATGGGAGTTTTGAAAGGATCATACCTAAAAATGATATTCAAATGATTTTAGTACCTGAATAGTTCCTACTATTCAAGAAGCCTCACTCCATCTTGTGCTCTACGCTACGGGTCTTGAAGAGATCCCGCTCTATATAACACGTTGAGTGAGTGCGTATCAATGTGTGAGTGTGTAGGTGTACGAGGTACGAGTATGTGTATGTGTGTATATGTGTGTGTGCCAGGTTGTATCAGTGATGGCACGTGGTGAGCGGGAAGCAGGGTGTGAACAAAAATTGCTCTCTTCCATCTAGAGCGTTCAGATCTGGAAGGGATGCAAGCGACAGAACGGGAACTGATAGTAGGTGGCATTTCCGGACTCTGTAGCCAAATTAAAATAAGTGGGAAATGAACCAGTTAGGAAGACACAAATGACTTGTGCAGGACTAGTTCATGGCGGGCTGGGCGCAGTAAAGCGAGCCGGTGCGTGTGGGCTTGGCCGGAAAGTCCCGTTCTCCTGTATCAGACGATCCAAGTTGGGGCGGGCAGCAGACCAACACCAACAGGATGAAAGCTCAGCGTGAGTCAGCAGAACCGACAGGCAAAAAAGTACACATGAAAGGTCCTGCTTTTGAATTGAATCAGGATAGGATGTTAATCCTCATCAACATTAACTTCTTCTTAGCTTTAAAATCGACCCGGAAGGACACATATCGTGGTAAGAATTGTACAAATGTAGCTCCATCCTGTGATCTTGTGAGCAAAAAGGCGAAGTAAAAACTAGCGAGCTCAGTGTACGTAAAAGAAAGTGAAAACGTATCTTGTGGGGAGAGTGAGGAGGAGGCATTCTTTCTCAATATTGAGTGGCAGTCAGTGCATTAGTTATGTTTAGAGACGAAACTTAGCCGAAGGAATGCAGTTTTTACCCAAGCCTCAGGATGGAGGAAGCACGATGGGTGAGATGATTACCTTGTGCAAAAAGTCTAATGTGAGGAAAGAATTGAACATTTCATTGACTCGCTCACCCCACTGCTCTTTATCTCCTAAAGCTTAAGCGAAATTTTTTTCTCGGCTAAAAAGCGTTTTTAACCCATTGACGACCATGCAGTCCACATGTGGACTGCAGTTGTATTTTTTGCTTTATTCATCTAAATTTCCACTTTCTTTCAATTCTTCTTCTCAAAACATTACATCAGGCCTAAATGAAACTACATACAGCGTGGTCCTAGGAAATCTTCTAATTTTGCCATTGTCGGATGTTTTTTCCGAAGTAGTACATTGCCTCGGTGAATTTTTCGTTCGCTGAACAACTTCAAAAAGTGAGATATTTTGAAAAGACGGTCGTCACTAGCATTTCCAAATGCAGAGCTCGTAAAAATTTCCCGAAACGATTTCTGGTGATGATTAACTCATTGGCGACCGCACCTTTTACATTGTCCCTACATTATCTTTTAATTTCTCTTATAACTGCAGTTTGAAGGGGATGATTCCTGGACCACGATGCTCAAGATTCTCTAGAAGGTTGTGAGCTCAGCTGATACTTGAAAACACGAAAAAAAACTTCCAGAACATCTGATAAATAAAATAAATACTACAGGAGCACGATACGAGTGGCCCGTTGGCGGGCCACGCGGTCGTCAATGGGTTAAACACCACTACGGGCTGGCTAGTCGACTACTGTCCTTTCGCCGCGCACTAGCACTCAACGCCTCGGTACTGGACAAGAGCATGGGTGGACATGGGTATTTTGGTGCGCCCGGAGATACACGAAGTTCGTGATTTGGACGACTCTGGGTGCATTACCAAGACGTGAAGCATGTACACAAAACAGCTGCCGAGGCCCAGAGCTGAAGCTGCACATAAGTAAGCACGTCGATTTGATCGATATAAGGAAATCATGTGAGCAATTAGCCGCGCAATTTGCCACGTGCGGTCTCTGGCTCACCAATGTTCCGTAACCCCAAGAATGTTGATCCTTAACCTTATCTCATCTTCCCTTCCCAAACTACAGTTTTATCGAAGAGAGAACACAGCGAAATCAAGCCAAAGTACAGTAAAGAGCTAAGTGCAAACATTTTGAGGGTGCAAGGACTACACAGAGAAGAGTGGAAATCCCATCAGGTCACCACGACTACCATGCCTCTCCGCTCGATATTGATCCATCTGCATTCTTTAACCTCCAGGGGATCCCTGTTGATGTCACAATGACAAGCCAACATTTGAAACCAAACTGAGGTCAGAGCAGAGCTAGAGTTAGGACATCCATTAAAACCGTTGACGCAATTTGAAATGAATGATGCTAACCGTCCATAAACAGGATTCGCAGCTGCGAGAACAGAACATCGTGCATTCAGTTTTGCATGGATTCCTGCTTTTGCAATAGTCACACGCCCTTGTTCCATAACCTCGTGAATCGCAGTTCGATCCACGTCCGACATCTATAATACATGTAGATAGTTGCACATGATATAGTTGCAATATCAAATGTAAGCATGATTTTGTCCTCACGAATAAGGAAAAGTTCGTAAGGTTATCGACACGCTCAGTTATTTTCGAAAGCTGCTGGAACCGAATCTACCTACAGAAATTCGGTCGGAAGATGACAGCATATTCGAGAAGAGCAACCGTTTTTTAACACTTCACATACCTTGTCAAATTCATCAATACACACGACTCCTCTATCTGCCAATACCATCGCTCCTGCTTCTAACCTGCGCTCTCCAGTATCTGTATCTGTTGTTACAGCCGCTGTAAGTCCAACTCCAGAAGATCCTCGCCCCGTCGTAGCGATGGCACGCGGGGCTGTTTGAAGGACGTATCTGAGAACGTTGGCCTGATCATAAGTAAAGTGAAGGGTAACCAGACAAACAAACCTTAGTAGTTGAGACTTCGCGACAGAAGGGTCGCCAATCAGGAGCACATTGATGTCTCCACGAAGCCGACTACCGTTCTCGAGAATTTTTTCGTTACCTCCGAGCAATAGACACAAAATTGCTTTTTTCACTTCGTCGTGACCACAAATCGATGGGGCCAGAGAGCGTGCAATTTGTTCGAACACCTATATTTACTTGTTGTTCTTTAGAAATGTTGAAATCAGGCAACCAAACTTACGTCCTTCTTCTTGCTGAACTTGCGAATATTTCTGACATCCTCAGGGTCGAAGTCCAGAGTTGTTTCTTTTGAAAGCAATTGAATATTATTAGAAATGATAATAGACCTGCAAAGGGTAATTTCATAAATGATTACGATAAAAAATAGGTCACATGGATAATATTCCACCTGAAAGAGCCATTGGAGAATCCATTCTGTTTGTTAGGAAGTACGCGATATAGACCTATTATACGAACACGATCGCCAGGGTTAACCAAATCTGCAAGGTCGTTGTCCGCAATTACGTCCACGGAACGAGGAAGCTGACCGGGTGGTGCGCATTCAGGTAACTCCTTTAAGAAAGCCAATGAGAAAAATGAAACTAGGGCACCATTCAAGTCAACATATAGTGTGTTATCGTGATTCAAGCAGTCACCCTTATCCCTTGTCAACTTGTGTTGTTTATGGTGCTGTTCTCAACAATTTTATGAGCCTTTTTTGAGATCGACTAGGTCATCGATACGGTTGCACAAGGTTGAGGTCGAAAGTAAACCCCGAACGCAGGAATGTAGTAAACGCCGAACCTCATGAACACAATATTCTACTCGGCGACACAACCTTTGAATACGCGCACTTGTGAAAAATTTTATTGGTGAACTTCTGTGCCTACTATTATATATCTAAGGATTTGAGAAAACGTCTGACTCCTTCAGTGTGATTATCGTCATCAAGGTTATGACAAAAGGGGGTGTTTTCCTTATGCGGCTCTCTGTGAAGCTCGGCATTCCTTTCGTATTAGGATGAAGGATAAAGTTTTTGGAGTTAATCAGTCCCGTCTGAGGAATGCGCCCCCGCACTTGACTTCCATACAGAATCGTAGTGGCGTAATGAGTGCGTATGTGGCCTATACAATGACTTGCGGGGGCCAGCCGATGTACAAGTCAGTGCTTTTATCCTCCCAGACGAGTCTGGTACCAATTTATCGACCCCGGAGGGATATAGGCTTGCTTGGCCTAGGCGGGTATCGATAAGGGATTCGAACCCGTGACCGTGCATGTGAGATAGTGCGCCACTTGCCACCACACCACCTCCGCCTGCCTGTATTTTTAATTTACTTTTTCGAACTCTTCGCGAGGTTTGTATGTAAGCTCTATTAGGTTGTCGTTTCGGCGGAATTACCTCAACTTGTGTTTGCATTTGAACAATTCCCTGAAATAAACTCCTTCCCTGGATATTAACACTCAAAAGGCAACACTTATAAGAAATGCGAAATCACTATTTTGCCACGTTTTCTATTCCTTTGCATTGTCAGTAAAGTCAGTCAATGTTAGCGCCTCTGTTGTTGGGGACGTAGGCCGAGAAGTTCGGAACCACGGCAGAGCCCATAGGCTACCATCATCTAGAGGGATAAATGCGCACACGAACGTGAGGATTAGAATTCACCATCGATGCCTTGATGTTCACTTCGTTACATGGCTATAGATGATGCCACCAAAAAGCAAGAAGCAGGTTTAGTGGGATATTCAATCACACTAGACGTGATTATATCACAATATGTTCCAGGGTGCGACGCGGAGGTCAGTTCCGACGTTAGATTGAGATTCACAGAAAATACAAGAGCATTATAAGGACCTCAGTTCATGAGACGATATGTCGTAGGCTTGAGAGAGCCACAGTGTTTGGATGTGGGCTGCTAAAAGTTGCCAAAAGTGTATACGGGATGAGTAAGCAGCCTGGCAATTTTGGCTTTTGCAACGAAGCTTTAGGGCTTACAGTACCAGAATTGTGGCAACCACTATAACTACCGAAGACGCTTAAATAAAGAAATGTTAGGAGCCCTTCCATTCTTTATCAAAAGTATAATAAAATTGAGTTACAACGGGATGAACGTAAACGTAAACTGGGAAGTTTAACAAGCGACATGGGGATGTGAGTTCATGGAGACCTTAAATTCACATCAAAAAAAAA